TACCCACAGCCCCCTCCCCAAATTCCACCCAGGTGAACCTGGTGGGGGTTTTACCCACAGCCCCCTCCCCAAATTCCTCCCAGGTGAACCTGGTGGGCACCTTCAACGTGATCCGCCTCAGCGCGCGCCTCATGAGCCGCAACGCGCCCGACGCCGACGGCCACCGCGGCCTCGTGGTCAACACGGCCAGCGTGGCGGCCTTCGAGGGCCAGGTGAGGCGGCCCACCCGCCCCGGACCCCCCTTTGGTCTGGGGGGCTCCTTGAGGGGTCTGGGGGGGCTCAGAGGGGTTTGGGTGGGTTCAGAGGGGTTTGGGGGGCTCCTTGAGGGGTTTGGGGGCCTCCTTGAGGGTTTTTGGGGTCATCTGAGGGTCCCTTGATGGATGTTGGGGTCACCTGAGGGTTTCTTGATGGTTTTTGGGGTCACCTGAGGGTTCCTTGAAGGGTTTTGGGTTCACCTGAGTGTTTTGGTGGGTCCCTTGATGGTTTTTGGGTTCACTTGCAGGTTTTGGGGGGTCCCTTGATGGTTTTTGGGTTCACCTGTGGGTTTTGGTGGGTCCCTTGATAGTTTTTGGGTTCACTTGCAGGTTTTGCGGGGTCCCTTGATGGTTTTTGGGGTCACCTGCGGGTTTTGGTGGGTCCCTTGATGGTTTTTGGTGTCACCTGAGTGTTTTGGTGGGTCCCTTGATGGTTTTTGGGGTCACCTGAGGGTTCCTTGAAGGGTTTTGGGTTCACCTGAGTGTTTTGGTGGGTCCCTTGATGGTTTTTGGGGTCACCTGAGTGTTTTGGTGGGTCCCTTGATGGTTTTTGGGTTCACTTGCAGGTTTTGGGGGGTCCCTTGATGGTTTTTGGGGTCACCTGAGGGTTCCTTGAGGATTTTTTGGGGTCACCTGAGCGTCCCTTGATGGCTTTTGGTGTCACCTGCGGGTTTTGGAGGGTCCCTTGATGGTTTTTGGGGTCATCTAAGGGTTCCTTGATGGTTTTTGGTGTCACCTGAATGTTTCGTTGGGTCCCTTGATGGTTTTTGGTGTCACCTGCGGGTTTTGGTGGGTCCCTTGATG